TTTGGGTCGGAGGACAATTATTATTGAAGAATTGAAAGGAAAAAATGAACATGGGCTGGAGTAGTTAGGAAAGGCTTCAAGAAGTAGAATTTGGTTTCCTTGACTTACTGGTGGAATTGGAAAGATGGAAAGAAAAGGAGAGGGTATTCCAGAAAGAAAGATATGAGCAAATTTACCTTCCTCTCTTCTTTAGTAGCTTCTCTTCTCTTGTACTAGCCATTATAATCCTCTCCCCTTCTGAGCACCAGGGAAAGCCTGCCTTGACACAGTCCCTCCCTGCTGTCTACCTTCTCTCTTCCCTTCTGTTTTGCTCTTTCTTCTATGGGAAGGATCGTGTATAGCAAGATGATACCTTCTTGTTAAAAAAAAATGAGTGTGGTTCTCCCTTCCACTGAATTCTGGATCTTAAAGCTATGCCCTCTATTCTAGTTTTCCAGATTTCCTTCGCATAATTAAAAATGCAAATGTTAAAGTATTTTTAGTCCATAAAGAATTAATCAGTCACATCACAAATTCCTCTCTCTCAGCGCATGCTGGCCTGAAAGACAGGTCAGAACTCAAGCCTGAGGGCAACGTAGATCGGAAGGAGCAGACCATTTAGGAGAGACAAGACCATATGAACAATATACGATTGTCAGTTTTTTAATATTTGGGACTGTAACTAGGGGACCACTGGCCTTATCTTGGTGCAGTGAAAGTAAATAGCCTAGAAAAGCAACATATAAAATAGACAGCATTTGCAGAATATAAAGTAGAGGTTGTAAGCTAGCAGGCAACAGACCTGTTTTGTTTTTGTTTTTGTTTTTTTTGGCTCACCTAGGATGAAAAAATAAAATAAGCCAACATTTAAAATTTGGAGAGAAAAACTATTTCTGACTTCTCTTAAAAAAAAAAATTAGAAGGCAACACAGACCCACATCCCTTCAGGGCAACAATCCACTGGAACCAAGTAAGGGCCCCCACTTTCTAGATCACACATATTACTCCCATTTGTCACAGAACGTACATGGGTGCTTGCAGTGCAGTGGGGCCTTTTCACTCTTTAGTTAATTGCTCTGCAGGCAGTAGAATTTGTCCCAACTATGAAGCCTGCAGGCATTGTTTTCAAAGTATTGTCATAGAGCACCTGCAGTGCTTTTGAATAGATGCAGATTCCTGGGCCCTGCACTGGACTGACTGAATCGGAAGATCATATCAAGGTGAGTATCAGCATTTTTTAACCAGCATGGATCATGATTCTCGTGTACGCGATGTGTATTCATGAGAACCACTGTTATAAAGTTTCTTTTCTCCCTCACTGTTCCTGAGGGGTGGTTGGCTTGGCATGCCTGTGGAGTGCAGGTGCAGGACAGCCTCCAGTGCTCACCTGCCTATAAGATCGTTGCTAGTCAGCATGAATTGGCATTTTCAGCTACTTTTGCTGGTGAAGCACAATACAGTCATCCATTCTGAAAGTTCTAAAGTTTAGTACATTGTGTGATCTACCTTTGACAGGAGAGGGTACAATCTCCATTGTAATCATGGATGGGAAAGATTTGAGTTGCATATAATTCAGGGTTACATTATGCATGCCAGGTTAGGAATCTCCATAGTGTGTGATCCAAAGCACTCTTTCTTAATCTGGTCAGAAAAAATCCCAGATCATTACTGAATGGAAACCAACCCTCTTCAAGTAGTTTTAAAAAAAAATACACACACATAGACACATGCACACACATACATATATACCTGTATGTGTTTAAAAGCAAGTTCCAGTTGGGCTACAAATACCCATGTGAAGGGGAGGCTAAGTATTTGTGTTGGATTTAAACTGTCCTATGTCTATCTGTGGATTTTTTACACAAAAAGCATCTCTATATTTCCCCTCCTCATCTCTCCTTTCTGTGGACTATCAGTAAATTATGATTTACTGACTCCTCATTAAGAGTTTTATTGTCTCACCCATCTGATTAACTTAGGTGATATCTTCATTATATTCCTCACAAAAAATAATGAGCAACTCTAAGTTGTCAATGAACCTAAATATAAGTTGATTGGGGTGTGTAAGGATTAGCCACAATGCTGATGACTATTTAAAATTTCCTTTAGCTTTCTTGGCAGAAGAGCTAACCAAGAACTTTAGAAGAGCAAATATGAGTTGTTGGCCCATTATAGACTGGCCTAAGAAGCAGAACTGAGCAGTTGCAATGGTTTCATCTCTTGAAGCCAGGATTTCACCTTCAGACTGCCAACTGTTGTTCCCCAAGGATGCTTGATGGTCTTCCAGTCTTTGGAAGTCATCATTCATCATGAAAACCATCATGAAGTTTTCCAACTTCAGCCTTGGAGTGGCGTTGCTCGCCTTAGGCATGTCGGGCAGCTTTCTCTAGAACGTAGAAGAAAGGAGCGAGGAAAAGAAGGTGAAACAGTGGTCTCACCAGCTGCTCAGATTTGGAAATAAGGGCAACAGTGACTTCCAGAACTTGTCTTATACTATGAGAAACATTCAGGTCACCAGAATTTAAAATTAAGGACACAGGGTCAACATCCCTTGTTGGGAGATTGCACTTCCAATTAATCACAAATAGTAAGAGGTCAGTTTTCATCAGTGGTTTGGGCTTCATGAACCTAATCATTATGGGATTAAAACTGTCTATGCTACATGAAAATAATAGAGAAATATTTCTAGTTAGACTTGTAAAATACTTTGTCGGTCAAGCCTCCCACAATCCTCCTGTTAAAAGCTATGAAGTATGTCACAGCTGGAAAGATAGCAGTGAGATAAATGAATGTTCACTTTCCTATCTCTTTGTCTTAGGAATCTGACTATCCTCATGCCTACACCATCACACAGAGAGTAAGGAGTTCTATAGATTGGGCGTTACATGGGGAAACTATTATTGAAAATTTCTGTGTTCAAAAATATAAGATGCTGTCTCTATAATATTTTTAAAAGCCTGTGGGAATAACAACCTGCCTGGCTTAAAAGTATGGAGGGGAAGTTTTGAAGCTGTACGCATACGTGGACTGAAGGCTCATGCTGTCAAGTAGCACATTTTACAGACCCATTAACATTTAATGTTCTCAGGCAGATCAGTTCAAAAGATTTGTCAGAAGAAGAATGAAGGGAAGACAAGCTTTTATTGACTGGAAAAATAATCAAATTGAATGTATTGACAACATATTTCAGAAGCTCTAATGAAATTGATAGAAACATAAAGGTGACAGGGACCCACCCACTAGATTAAATGATGAAAGACTATCCCATATTCTTGGAAGATATTAATATTGTGGTCCTATACATGAACATTTTCAATTTGAGATTTTTAAGCCTTTGGAATTCTTCAGAATATGTGGAATTATATGAAGACATATGTTAGTCTGAGAATTTTATATACTCTACTATGACAGACTTTCTCTTTCCACGCTGCCTCTCACAAATCACATTACCCAGGGGAGTGTGCAGCCAAAGAACCCACATACACACAGAGTAACCAGGGCAACGTGTTTTCAATGAAGAGCCCTGCTCTTCCTAATAGCTTACAGCTTCCCATTCTGCTAGCAGCTTGGAGGGTATATATGGTAAATATAAGACTTGGTTCTTGTCCTCAAGAAGTCTGAGGTTGTGTTGGGGAGACGGTATATGCTAATGTGCTTGAACAGCTTTCCTGAGAAGATGCAACTTAGTGCTCAGGGAATGGAGCAGATCAGAAGTGCGTGAGATTTAAGATCGATTTAACTTTGGTCATCGCTATTACTCTTGCAGAATACTGTTTTTAGAATTTGTATGATTTTGTAAAGGAGGGGCTTTGGAATCTGATATGCATTTTACTAAGTGATACAATATGGCATAGTGAAATGAGGGCTGGACTAGAGGCCAGAAAAATCTGGATTCTAGTCTCACTTTCTCCCCTGGGTGGCTGGGAGACTTGATTCAAACAAATCACTTATCTTCTTTGAATGTCAGTTTCTACATCTGTGTGTGTGTGTGTGTGTGTGTGTGTGTGTGTGTGTGTAATCCTGCTTTCTGCACCTAACTTATAAGCTTTTTGTGAAGATAAAGCAAAATTCAATGCTATAAAATAGAAGTCAGCATTATTATTAACCTACTGGTTAAATCAAACTATCACCTGAAGTTATTTTAAAAATGCTTTTCATTTCTATAGTTAATACTGTATGGTGTACTTAAAAATTTGCTGAGAGGGTAGGTGTTAAATGTTCTTACCACAAAAAATAATAAATAAAGAGGGTAGGTGGAAACTTTTGGAGGTGAGGGATATGTTTATGGCACAGATTATGGTGATGGTTTCACGGGTGTATATTTATCTCCATACTCATCAAGTTGCATACATTAAATATGTACAGCTTTTTGTATGTCAATCATACCTTAATAAAGTGGTTTTAAAAGTGCAAAAAAATGCTTTTCATTTATGCTGTGACTGTTGCATTTTTTGTATAGACCTCTGATAACTCATAAATAGGAACTTCATATGATGGCATTATGAAAATGATACTGTACATTCGTGAGGCTATATTGTATGGTGTTATCTCATTTGATTGTTACAAGTATGATATTTAGACCAAAAGTGATTATTATGTCCACTTCATATATATAAAGAAACCGCAGCTCACAGGCAGTAAGTGCCTTAGTCTCAGAAGGCGGAGGAGCTGGGACTGGACCCTGGTTTTCTGACTTTTAATGCAATGTCCTCTCCAAAAAATTTTGCTGCCAACACCTTGCCAGATTACAGAAAGTAAATGAGGCTTTTAAACAACTGTGTAAAAAAGAAATGTCTGAAAATACTGCTCACCCTCTTAAATATCTGTCTGAAATAACTTCAGTAAGTCTTAATCATAAGAACAAAATTAAAACATATTTTAAATGCCCAGATATTGTTTGAAAAAATTCACTTCCTCTTAAACAGTGTCATTTCACAGCAAGCTGCCATTTTTTCCTAGCAACTGCAATTCACAGATTGTATTTCTGAAGGATGTTCATTGTTGCCCCTTCCCTCTTTTAGCAACAGATCAACTCCTAGCAACCACGATCGGATACAGCGTCTACGGCAAGAATTTCAGCAAGCAAAGCAGGATGAAGATGGAGAAGACCGAAGACGTACCTATAGCTTTGAACAACCCTGGGTGAGTGTTTGGTTCTTTGGCACAATGAATACTCCCACAATTTCCCTGCGGTAAAAGCCACTAAGCAATGATCTCAGTCGTTTATGAAACGAGACAAGATGGAGCCAAATTCCTTTGACCTTTAACATACTGACCTTTCCCTCATTTCCATCTGGGTTTCATCATTGCTAATTTCATTTTATATCTTGTTGCACCATCTGTCCATTGCATAATAGGTTTCATTTGCCTTATGACAAGACATAGCAAAAGTATTCTTGCTCTCAACCATACATTTTTTTAAGGTTAGTAAATATTTTTGTATATACATTTTTCTCAGAATCAGAGCCAAAATAAATTAGTTCAGCACATGTCTATTCAGTATCTACTATACACAAAATGCAGAATTTAGTAATTCTGGATTCTTTGTTCTTCCTTATCCCCTTTGTGTGTTTGTTGAATCCCTTTGTTGATCTCCCTATATCCCTGTTTGAGTCCATCCTCCACATAGCCACCTCAGTGATCTTTCTGAAGTGAAACTTTGAGTGGCCTCTCAGTGCCCACAGATGAAGCCCAGATTCCGCAGGGTGGTGTGCCAAACCTCCCCAGTCTGGCCCCAGACTTCTGCTCTGATGTCGTGTTTTGCCCAGGAGATGATGGCACTTCTGGGAACAGGAGGTGTTGGAATGGATTTGGGGATCTGAGATGATGGGAATTTTGAAGAATCTCTTTGGAAACTTGAGAGAGAGTCAATTAGGGATGAATAAGTAAGCTACTTGAGGTAGGAAAATCTAGCTGAGGGTATTAGTAGGTCCAATCAACATGTGACCACAGCCAACAATGCTTAGAGGACTGGGAACAGAAAAAACAATTTTTAGACTAATTCTGTGATAGAGATTGGCAAGGCAGACATGGCAGAAAGTCAAAGAAGGCACTCAAGAGTCCTGGGAGGATACTGGTGACGCATCACCCCGTCTGGGAAGGGTAGTAAGTACAGCTCGAGAAATGATTTCTCTGGTTGCCTGGGAGCACACAAGAGGGGTCAGTAGTCTAGGGGTTGTAAAGCCTAGGAAGTTGTGGTCATGAGAACACATTTTTTGGAGTCCAGGATCTTGGAGGTGGCACAGTGTTGGATGACATTGAGGTCTAAGGCGTGCCATCCATGCATGTGAGTTACTGAAGTAGAGGAGCTTAGGGTCCAAAAAGTCAATGGGTTCAGTTCAAAGTGTTGGGAATATAATTACACTACATATTTGGGAGAGTAGTGGCAGAAGGAAGAATGGTGTTAGGAAAGGCTTGACATGAAAAAATGATCCTGTTTTATTTGGGGAAGGGTAAACTTCCCAACTGACGTTGACCTGAGAGGTTGGTTATGTTGTAGGGAAGGAGAGAGAAGGGTGGAAATGAAGTAGGAGCCTTCAATGCTAGATTGAAAGTTTGAGGAAGGATGGTATCAGGACAGAACACTGGCCCACTAGCCAGCTGACCTGGCTCTCCAGGCCTCAGTTTTCTTAAAGAAAACTGTAACCAGAACCTTTTGGTCGTAAACCAAAAGGGTCAGAATAGATGTAGTAAAGTCAGTTGTTAAACCCTTTGTTAAAACGAAAATTTAAGAGGAAACTGAGTGTGTAAAGTAAAGCAAGTGTGAGCAGAGCTCCCCGGGTTGAACACAGAGGCCTCTGTGGATGCAGGTAACTGCTGCCCTAGATTAGAGCTTCTCCAGGTGTGGCCACAGACCAGCAGCGTCGCATCACCTGGGAGCTTGTTATAGGTGCACATGCTTGGGCCCTGCCTCAGACCTACTAGATCTGAACCTCTATGCCTGGGCCCAGGAATCTGTATTTTAACAAGCCTTCCAAGTGGTTCTGAAACATGTTCAACTTCGAGAAGTGCTGCTCTAGAGTTTAGATCATCTCTGAAGTCCTTTTTGTTCCTAAAATCCAACACTCTTAATATACTCTACACAAAGCCAGAAACCTATAAGGTTTTTGATCTTAGGATTTAGTGACCAAATTGGAGTTGGTGGAAGGTTAATTTTGTGAATGAAAGGAGAACAAGGAGAAATGGGAGAAGCAGTACTAATTTGAAGGGCTTTATCTTAGTTCAGGTGGGGAAGATGGGGCCTCAGAACAGGCAATTGGCAATGGACCAGCATCCAGGAGTAAAAACTCCTCATGAAATCAATCCTAGCCTGACTCTTGAGAGGTTATAACACAAGTTCAGCAGATTTAATATCTAAGAAAATCTCTAATTGTCTTCTGCAACAATATTACTATTAATGATATTTTTAATAATGTAGTTTATTTTTCTAGATGATCAAGTAAATTGAGTCATTCCCATGTAGCAATATGATAGAATTATGTTAATGTACTTAATATGGTTTGCCATAATTGACTCTATCTATTCCTATTAGGTTTCTTAAGGCAGGATTCTTTTGTGATAAAGAATCGTGTAGTAAACATCCTTAACATATTTATATTATATTTGCACAAAAGGATTGAAAAGAGACATGAGTACAGTGACAGCCTGAAGGAGAAAACAGCAGCCACACATGGAAATAGTTCTCACACACAGTTCAGCCTGCAAAACCCCGTGTCCCTCACTCCGCAGGCTATACCATGGGGAGCAGCGTCATGCCATTTGACTTTACCGGGAATGTGGATTTCAAACCAGCATATTCCCAACATGTATTCTTTAATTAGTTATTTAAGGCATCAGATTTATTGAGTGCTTACTATGTTCTAGTCACTGTGTTTGGTGCTGGAGAACTAAGATCAGAAAGAGAGAAAGCCCTGAGAACTCTGCAATGGAGCTGATACAAAGGAAAGGAGGGCTTTGTAGTTTCTCATAGGGGTACGCATGGAGTATTAAGCATGGAGGGGCCATGCCAAGATCAGCTGTGGGTGGTCAGGAAAGGCTTGAAAGAACACCTCTTTGAAGTTGGAATATATTTTAAATACATAACTTTGAGAAACAGAGAAACATATCTTTGGGCACTAAGATTGATTGGATTTATTTCTGGTTGGTGACATTGTATCTACATGCAAGATTTCCAAGTTTATTTGAGGCTAAACGAGCATTTCCTACTTCTTAGCTCTAGATGTTTTTTACTGGGAGATGTGGAAATGATTTGATATCCAGTTGGGTTTCTTTATAAGATTTTTTTTTTGAATGGGGGGGTGAATAGGTTGGCATATGTTTCTATGTCCATGTTAGGAAAAATGTTCGAGAAAATCTTATACATTTAGAAACTCAGCTACTGAAGGTCGTAAGGCAAATTATTGTATATCAAAATGCCATAGCAACTTTAGACAGACAAGTTGGCTTGTATTATCATTTCCTGTAATGAGTGAGCAGGGAATTATTTGGATGACAGGCTGATTACCTCAGGAGTGGAATAATTGCCTAAATTGTGGGTCAGAAGTTGACCTTTTCTTTTCTTTTTATTTATTTTTTTCATTTTCAAACAATCGGGATCTTGCTGTGTACTCCCCATTCTACTGATCATGTAAATGAACTTAAAGTGACTGTGATTCTACTTAGTGTATTAATTTTCTTACCAATTGTCATTGTTGCCTTACTAAGAGCTGCTCAGTTGTTCAGAATGAAGCGTGGTCTATGGTTTTTATTATCTGTTTTACAAAACGAGCTATGAGTATCTTGGAATCTTTTTTTCTTTTCCCGTATGTGTTCTGACCTTGAAAGGTCACTGTGTTTGGAACAGATGAGACCATGATCTCCCCACTGGGATGGATTGTAATCATTTTAGTTTTAAGGAACCACAAACTTATCCTCAAGCTGTGTATACAACTTTGACCATATTAGTTGAAATTGTCATGCTTGTTAGAAATGCCCACACACCAAGTGCAACCAGATGTATCATATAGAAAAATATCCAAGCCAATTACTTTCCATACAGAGAGAGATGCTGCAGAAAATCCATCCAAGTAGCCCTTTTCAAGTCATCCATTTCTAAAATGTTCTCTCTAAACTCTAGCAGTACGGAATGCACCTGTTCCTGGGCTTTTGTTCAAAATAATGTTTGGGGCTGAGGGAGCTGATTTGTGGCACAAAAGGTCTTTGGATGAGCAGAGGCCCAGAAAATTTCCTTAGCTCCATAATTGAAGTGAGTTCTCTCCCAAGTTGAGTGAGAGTCAAAGAAGAAGAAAAAACAAATTCTCCCCTACGTAGTGCCAGGTGCAACATAAATAAAGCAGCAAGTTGCTTTAAATCTTTCTTAAGATAATGGAACAATAGCTGAGGTGAGGGTTATTATCACAGAGCTCAGATATGGACAGGACTTAGTGTTGCTTTTAAAAGAATTAAATTGCAGGCCGCAGACGTAAGTACAGTATGCTGTTAAAACTTTGCAGATACCTGAGTGTTGCCCACAAGGAGACTTGCTGGCTGAGACGACTGATAGATGGGATAATGGAGCCTTTAATAGCTATATTGCTAAATCCTTTCCATCCCGGGTTATGTAGTGACTAAAAGTAGTTTAGTCCTTCAGATAGAAAATTGATCCTCTGCGATGTGAATATCCTCTTCTCCCCCAAGCTTTCTTCCTAGCTGTCTGTCTTTGAACAAATAAAAAAAATCTGTCCTTTTCTCCATTTTCCTGTCTTGGACTTTTAATGTCTCCTCTTACCCTTTTAGGGTTTTGCCTGCGTTAGTTGGAGAGCCAATCTGCACAGCCACCCTGCACCTCTAGATTGCCTTCCCTGTACCTGGGGAATTTGAGAAAATGATGATTTTTTGTTTTTGTCTTTCTTAAGACTTCAAAGGTATCTGCTGTCATTTGCTCATAGTGGGCCTCCATGCCTTGACTCAAAAAATGCCTTCTTAGTTGACAGCCTTGTGGTAGTGTCACTCCAGTTCAGATTGGATGGAAATCACTTCCCTTGGAAAGCTGCCTGGAGAAAGCCATCCTTGCAGCAAAGGGATACTTTTTATTCATGGCAGAGGCCTCTGTGCTGCTGCAAAGTAGACCCCTTTCTTGCAGCCCTGTGACGCGTCCTCCCCACCAAAGCCTCCGTGACCCATGGACCATTCCACCCCAGAGGCCTCAGGTGGTGGAAATTCCTGAGGCTGCCTTTGGATGCCGTTAGTACACGACACTGGAGGGCTGGCTTCTTTTGTAGAGCCACCCCTTTATTTTCAATATCCCTGCTGCTTAAGATGGGGAAAAAATAGATCCAAACACAGGTTGGGAAAGATGAGATAAAGACAATAGTGTGTTAGGACTAAAACATGTATTTATAAAATCTTTATGAGAGAAATTGGTATGCTCTGCAGATTTTTCAACCATTACTCACATCATTAGTGGCAATTAAGCTTTTCAACATTCAGAACCCACAAGAGTTCAATCGATAGTTGTATAAATATAGTGTGTGATGGGGCAGAAGGGAAGGCTGGGAAAGCAGAATAGATAGACAAAAGTTAACTTTGTTTTGAGTAAAGGTTGTAAATAAGTCTACTGTATAAAATAATTACCAATGTTAGCAATGGCCACTTTTAAACAGAGTAAACAATTTACATTCTTTACATGATTTAGTGGCATAAAAATTATTTTTACCCTTTACCAAATCTTTAAATAAACATTTTTATCAGAGTATGGAATTCATACTAGGATTGTGGCACATTTGAATTGCTGAAATAGGGATTTTAAATCTCAAAGGGATGTCATTGTTCTTTCTGTTTTTATCATAGTCTTCATCATCATTCTCATCATCATCTTCTTCATTTCATCCAAAGCACACAAACTTTTTGTATTTTATTTTTGTTTTCTATACATGCCCTTGGAGTTATGTGAAATTTTCAAAATATTTTTATTATTCATGATTTAAATAGAAAACCTGCCTGAAATGATCATTTATAAGAATATTACATATATGTGTGTATATGTGATTATATACAAGTGCACACACACATATGCTTACATGCTGTTTTTCTTATCTATATGAATAAAAATTACGAGTATTTAAAAATTATTGAATATTTCATGTAAATACTAGTTATATTTTATGTAAATATTTTGTAAATATTAGTTAATAAGAGTAATGAATTTTGTTTCATAAGTGACACATAGACCTTTATATTAAACTCTGAATATCTTAAAATTTTACCTAATTCTAATTAGTACTGAAACTTTGTACGGTGTATATTTATTTTTGTTCTTTCTTTAGTCTGTTAACTATTAACAGTTTTGGTTTTGTATTTTTATTTTTTGTATTATCTATTTTTATTTTGAAAAACAAGTGATTTTATTTAATTGAGAGAAATGCTTAGTTAATGTCTTAATTTAGTGAAACACTATATGGAAGATATTTTTAATATTTTGTTTTACACTAGTAAGTGATACCAAAATTGTGTAGCTTTCCTAAGCTTTATATAATTTTTTATATAGTATAAATAGTGTCTCATTATAATCATGATAAAGACCAGGACTCTGAGCTCATTTACAAAACATAGTTTTCACTTGTGGTTTTAAACATAAGCCATGAAGAGATTCACATACCGTGGCCTCCAGTGTATTGTGTAATAGATAATCATGTATTTATTTCTCTCTTACAACCTCTCTCATTATTATGGCCTTGGCAGCCTTGGCTATTTTTTTACTTAAAAGGTCATTGCTTGTCACCAGTTTCATCACAAACAAGGCCAGGGTGATTTGTAATTTGCACTCTTAAAACAGAGCTATTGCCTGGTATCTGGTGAATCTCCAGAATTATTACAATTATGTTTTACCTGTGTGTTTCCCTGTCTAGATGTTACTCTGTGCTTGTAGTTGTTGATGGTGTTTTATTTGAAAACATGCACTTCTTTCTATGGTTACAAATGATCTCTTTCTTCATTTCTTTCTTTATTTTTGTGATTTAAGACTTTAGATACACTATTCTATTTCTGCCAGAGGGGTGGAAACCACACTATTTAAAAGTCAAGATTGTTGATTGTAATACTGTTCCCACAATTTACATTTTTATGAGATCTTCACTGAAATCAGGAATCAGGTTATTTTTGATTCAGGCCAAGTATAAAACTTGCCAGGATGAACTTATTTAGTTGTTGCTCCGGGCTGGTCAGGTATACAATCTTCCTTGAAATCCATGGCCCAGTAAAGTTTCATCTTAAAGATAAGTGTGATTCTTTTTAATAACCCCCCCTTTTTTTAGCTCTAAAGAAGAGAAATGGAGTAAAATATTAACGGTAAGGCTGACCTTTATATTTCATCATGGTGAGCATAATAATATAAAATAGGTCAGTTCGCTGATACCAAACTCATTCACTCATTTTAAGTTTTCAGACCCCATCTAATGATAATTTCATTATTGGAATTCATTGAGATCCAATCAGATGCTTGCTGCTGATAAGGTTTGAGGTGAAGTGTCAGAAAACACACTGTGGAGGAAACAAAAGCCCTTCAACTTCGTTTTTCCTCTGTCAGAATCAAATTTTCAGGCCTCTGGGAGAAACAACTTAAAAATACACCTGAAATTTCTACAAGAACTTGCATTTTCTTTTCACATCTCTACAAGCAGTGTGTCATAGAACAGCATGAGCTTAAAAAGCTGGTTACTAAATCCTGCTGCAGAATGCCAGGTCTTTCAAGACTGCTTGACACATGTGTACAGCTGGGGCCGAGAGAAAAGGAAAGGAAAATGTGGTTCCTTTTGAGGGCGTAAAGGAAATTGTGCGGTATTTTCTTGCTTGCTTTCCCTGTCCAGTGGCTTCTCGCAAGCTTCCCAGGGCTCACCATGAACAATAGAACAGCCTGGTTTTCTTTTTGGCCAGCCTCATCAAGTGTAATGGAGAAAATGTCTGTCTCCTTTAATGTAGTTGATGAACAATTGGTTGATGCTTTGTTTGCATAAGCAGAACTCACCCAGTGAAGTGTTTTCCTTGCTGTAGGCACCACTGGTGTGTTATGTGAACGGTGTTATGGGCGGGTCTCTGAACACACATTTGTTCCAATGAGTGTGGTTATAAACATCCAATAGTAGAGACTGGGGTATTGTAAAGCTTAATCTCCTCACGCATTATTTTTGTATCGGGATATTTTTAATATGCTCACTGACTATGCCCATATGCTTTGAAATTTTTGTCCTGTCTATTGCCTTGTTATTGCTTACCAACAAATAAGATAACGCTAGCCAGGCAGAAAGAGAACAGTAGGCAATGCTTTCTTTCTGTTCAGACAAAAGCCAACCGCAGGAGCCACTCTTCAAGTAACAAGCCCACATGTTATCTCACAACTCTCCAAATGAATGCTAAGACTCTGTTATTTTAGAAAATTATTATCAAGTCAAAGTCTGCCATTGGCTTTCAACTCTAAAAGAAAATCAATAACTTGTTTTTAACAGACCTTCTTAACTCAGAATATGCCTATTGCACAATGTTGCATAGCACAAAGGGGCCTAGAGGTTAGCGAGTACCAGAAAGGCTTACTTAGTGCATGCCACTGACGCTGTGAGAAACCCTTGTTGGGTGTTCTGTCAAGTGAGAGGCATTGTTGTCTGTTTTGAGCAGAGCTACTTTCAGTTCAGAAGGCCAGGTCTAGAAGGTAAGCTGGAAACTGTCAGTGAGCAGCTGAATGTCCACATTCCTGGATGTCCCTGAATGTCCACAGGGGTTTGATCTACCCAGCGCAGTGTACACATCAAATATCTGATTTTGGTGAGAGGCAGCCATGAGCAGATGACCTGCTGACCAAAGTATTTAGCCAGAAGGATTGAAAATTTCTCTGTAGGATATAATTAACCTAGGTAAAAAATGCCATTTCCTCGTAACTAAGGCAAAATGTATTATAACCAATTCAAGTAGCTATTAGCTTTCAGGTTTATTCTTTTGGTAAGCGTCTCTATTCCCATTTGGCTGCCATTGTGGATTGGAGGAGACCTGTACATGGCTAATAGTGCCTGGTTTCAACTAATCTTGGTCAAAATTTAACTGTCATCCTTTAGTAAAGGAGGAATCAGCTATATTGTAACCTACTGCTTGACTAAAATATGTATCTACCAAACAGATTCACCAGCATGACCAGCGTTCAAGTGTGCACCCATGGACTTTCCCACTTTTGTAAATTATTGTAGCAAAATTTTCATTTTTATTTATTTATTTCTTTGGCATTGACGTCTTCTAGTTTTCTGAGCAGCCTTACTCGCCTATATTTGCTGTATACACAAGGGATGTAAACCGGTATCGAATGTCAGTATTTACCAAACCTCAGTAAGAAGACTAGAAAAGTTGACATCTCAATTTTAAACCATTCTAAAGCCATAATCAAAATTTAAGATGATTATTTGGGGCTCACAAGAGCAATTAGGTGCCTTTTTTCTTAAAGAAACTTGAGAATATTGCACTTGATTTTTTTAAAAATTCACAGAGTTGGCGGAATGTTTCCAGTCCACCTGTAAGAGTCGAACTTTCGTCCGCCAGTCATGTGCCGTCCGTAAGTCCTCCCTCGTTCACCGTGTTCGTTTCCTCCTGCAGCCCGGCTCCCGACCGGCGGCGCAGAGCGGCAGGCACTCGGTGTCCGTGGAGGTGCAGATGCAGCGCCAGCGGCAGGAGGAGCGCGAGAGCTTCCGGCAGGCGCAGCGCCAGTACAGCTCGCTGCCCCGGTACGCCGCGCGCCCTGCGGGGGCCCTGCCTCCGGAGCGCGCCGGCTTCCCCGGCTGATGCGCGGCAGCCGTGGGGGAGCGGCGGGTGGATGGTGGCAATCGTGGCCTAGCTTGGAGGGCCCTTACTGCATGGCGAGAAGACGGGGAGGAAAGGTGTTCAGGAGACGCCAACATTTTCACCCCCAAGCTCCCTAACCGAAAGCGAAGAAACGGGACATATGAGTACTGGGCTTGGGGTCAGACCTGGGTCGTAACTCGAGTATTGGTTCTGTTGCTTCCCGTGTGACCACAGACAAGACAGTTTCCTCACCTGAACGATGGAGAGAGAGCTCTGCTTTTGCTTGGCTCAAGGGTAACCAGAATAAGTGATACTTTGCAAATCCAGAGCTCTGTAGGAGGACAGGGGGTGAACGGTGCATGCCCGGGACTCAGGTGGGAGGACGGGGGGTGAGCCGTCCATGCCCGGGACTCGGGTGGGATCCGTGGTCCCAAACCTGCCTCTCTTGCTGTCCTGCTGTCTCTGCTTGTGCTCAGTGTTGAAGCTCAGAGTGTCCCAGGGATCCCACCTCACTAGCTGACAGCCAACCCAGAGGCTTCGTCTGCAGGGCTCCCTGCCTGGAGGCACCTCTGCTCCGGGGGTTATCTGCCCAAGGCCTAGAAAGCAATCGGGTGACTGAGCCCTAATACGCTGAAATAATAGCCCTTTTCCCATCTAAGTATTTCCTCCATGCACAATCAGGAATAAAAGTATTTTAAAACATTCAGCTTTCCAAACTTCCCTAAACAAGTCACTCCTATAATCACAATTCTTACAGACATTTGTTGACAGAAACCAGGTGACAAAAACATTTTGGGTGGGAAATAGTCCACTTACCATGTTTAAATCAAGTTGACTGTTTTCAATTAAAGCAGAAAATTTCGGGGGTGGGGGCAAATCCTTATCTGTGTAAACTTAACTGACCAATATAAAAGTGATCTTGATTCAGTTCTTAATAAGGATGAGTCCCTTTAAACGCTAAATAGTCACTGTAATAACCATGAGGGACTTGACCACGTAGACACAGGTCAGCCAAGGGAATGTGGATGTGAGTGAAACTCTGTACCAGGATAAGTACTATCTATTGTGGTAACTTGTTCATTCAGTTGGTCTTTCAATCCATAAAGCTATATTGCCTTTGAGGACTAAATTATTTTTTCTTTTAAATAGAAAAATAAGAGTTATTTAGCCCACTGTAGGTAAGAGTCATTGAAGTTTAGGTCTGGACAGGCCCTTGGAGATCATCTTGTCGTACAAGGAAACAACTCAGAGAAGTTAAGTAACTTCCCCCAAGGTCACACAAGCTAGTGCAAAGTTCTGCCAGAATTCAAGCCCAAACCTGCCTGTGCCCTACACCATTGTTTTATAAGGCTCATTGCTACTGGGGGCTTTTGTTCCCAAGTCTGGAATGTTAACAAATGTAGGTGTAAAGTTCCCTCTGTGCTCTACTGCCCTTAGCTTTTGGAAGAAGGTCGCTGTGGATTCAACCCAATGCATCAAATGCTAACCACCTTAAGGATTTTACATAAAGGTTCTTCTGTGTAAAATCCCTTCCTCCAGCCTGTTTGGCTTACTTTCCTTTGGAAAGACGAGTGTGATAATGTGGGTGAATTGACATACCTGGTGTGGGACTGTGATCTTGTTTTATTGACAAATTGTTTGGCTTCATATATTTTAGTCGTATTTGAGAGTACTTAGAAGAAGTGAGGAGAGACATCATAAAGGGTATATGAGAAGAGGAGTGAGTTGGGAAATGCACATGGCGAAGGAAGGGAGGTAGAGAGACGGTGGTGGGAGGGCCTGGAAGGGCAGATGGCCTGGTGGGAGAAGAGACTCTAGGGTCCCAGTCCTCAGGGAGAGGACAAGGATAGATGTGGGTGTTTCCGCTGAACTTCTCCTGGTCACATTCCAGAGTCACTCAATATTCCAGACTGATCGTTTTATCCTCGCATTCCTCTCCCGTCTTCACTCTTTACCCCTCCTTCCCACATGTCCTCCGTGCTTCGCTTCCTTTCTCTCCCTCTCCCTTCCCAGGCACGTGGTGGAAGAATCTGTATTTACATGGAGAAGGGGGTTGCTGTTGCTGGGGCTACGGCTGTCAGTTAGCATTTCCCTAAATAACTAAAACTCTCCCTCTGGGTTAGTTGTAGCTCCGTTATTATTAGTCATTTTATTCTGTGTAGACATGAGAAAAGCAAAAATCCCAAAATGAAAGCATTGTGTAAGTTCAGGCAAGAGGGGCTGGTAGGCGTCTCCATCACGTTCTGTAACTTGAGAGAATAATTCCTCAGTGTGAATCTTCATGTTTGTGAGGAAGATTAAGGAATGTGCCACCTTGCACCCGGCTTGATTTCTTGCAGAGCAGCACTGCTCAACATCAGGCTGTATGTGGAAACCTGGAGGAAAGTAAAGGGCGGAGGGAGCCCACAGCAACCTACACGGGATTGAGTCAGAGCCACGTTTCTGACATGTGATATTCTTCAAAGACACTTGACCTTTGCTTTTTGGATGTTGACAATTAGCGGAGTTTTGTCTAAACAAGTTGGTATGGCATTTGATACCAGAAAGATTTCACACACAGAAGGAGTTTGCTTGCAAAGTGGAGCAGGAAAAAAACAAATGGTCGGGACTCTGTATCAGTCGCACGAGATAAGGTGGTTTGAATTAGAGGAATGTATGTGAGCCAGGGTGGTTTGTAAATTCTAACTGTCATTAAGGAAAGCTATAGAATTCAAGTTACATTTTGAAATGTCAATAAGAAGCACTAGCCAGGTGGTAACATGAGTTTGGAAGGAAAGGGGACCTGACTGGCCCCACTCAATTCTCAATCAGACTAGGGTTTCTTTTTCTATTCCTAACTTAGTTTTCTTTTTTAAATACTTTTTTAATTCCTAAATTAGTTCCTTAGTATCCAAAAGGCAACTCTAAAACTGAGTAGAAGTATGTTCGGTCATAGTCACTGATAGAAAAGACTTATTTAAGATCCTTTATTAAATATTTTTCTTTTTCTTCTTTTCCTGCCATCTCTCTATTTCCTCTTTTTCTTTCCCGCTCCATTGGTTTCACGTCTGTTGGCGTCTGTCTCCCTTTCTTGGTACATCTCATTTCTCGCTGTGTCTCTACACCCTGACATTGTCTCCCCACCAGGCCCATTATTATGTCTCTAAGCTGCTTGTCAGCTTGTCAGCCTTGGTCTTTATATCTTTTTTCATCCTCCTATGTCCTCCTCACCACGTGACTAAATGGCTTTCCTTAGGCGTACGTTTCTTTGGTGTACGTTCTTTACATGGTGATGGTCTTCCAGCCATGTTGGAGGCAGTTGTAATTGTTGAGATAACTATTGCCAAACCAGGATATGTGCTTTGAGTGGATTCAGAAATCTCTAGTGGGCTCATTCCAGGACCAAACACACCTGTGTGTTGGTTATAAAGAAATTCAGCAGAAGGGGGTTGATGTTTTGTTGTTGCTGTGGTTATATGTGGCCTTGGAGCAATCATGGGACAGTTGAAAGCTTCCTTCTTATCTCTGAGGAAGTGTTTGTGGAGTTGCCTTCACGTAGGGAGGGTTCTTTAGTTAGTCTTTGGTGCCTTTCTCCATTCCTTGATGTCTACCCAATCCTTCTGATGAAAGATGGAAAGCTAATATTTTTATTTATTTTTTTCCTTAGTCAGAAAGATGCTCCCCAAAACCCAGAGCTCAATCTTTGAAGACAAAGTGACTATGCCTTCAAACTACTCCTCCAACACGCATTGGTCAGCCATTTACTCCATGCCACACTTTTCCAAGCATTTTACATGTGTTATTTCATGTATTTCTCCCCATGACCCTATGAGGTTAGTTATTATGCTTATTTCACAGATTTGGCAACGTGGACCCAGAGAGCATAACCCTCCCAGGGTCACACAGCTGGAAAACAGCAGACTCAGAATTTGAATGTGTCTGTTTGACCCTAAGCCACTCTCCCACTGTGCCCGGTGCCGAGGTGACTAGTTTTCCAGTGCAGGAAGCTCCTGTTGTCTGCTTCTCGTGTTTATCTACAATCTGCTCATTTCTTATCCTATCCTTAATTAAGAGCTTATTGATACCACTAGCTTCCTTACCAAGAAAGCATGTGTGTATGTGTGTGTGTGTGTGTGTGTATGTATGTGTGTACATGTGTACATATGTGTATGTACTTTCCCCACATATCTTACTTCAAACCTCGGGGAGGTCTGCTTCCTTCTCTCTAGACTGCTTAATTTAAAGAAAATTTTAGCTACAAGAAGTTCTTTCTCCCACATTGTCGTAATTTCCATCCCTCACAAATCTTTAGTGAATTCTCAATGTGTTTAAGTATAAAAAGACTCTGTCTTCCTGGAATGATTCAAAACTCAGCTTATGGTGCATATCTGCTGCAGAGTGAAGCCTCAGGCTTTGCAGTGCTGGGGAGTGGAGGATGGAGAGGGTCAGTGCATCTCGGAGGCCAAGGAGGGAAGAGGCGCCATTTCTGCAGCGTAGTCCTGGTTATCTTTAAATGGGTAACTGACCCATGAAAGAACCCTGTTCTTGTTGCTGTAACATCAGTAACAAGTTCGTTGTTTTAGTTCAAGTTTCATGATTAGCGTCAAATCCCTGGTTTCATGCTGGCACTTTCCATCATTCATGTCTCTGGGCAGATTAATTTATGACTTTTTAAGTGAAGATAATCAGTGCTTTAGGCAAATAAACTATTCCATCAAATCTAAGGATTCTTGCCTGGGCTGATTGTACCAATGGCTTGATTCCCATTAAAAGAGAACCAGATAGATACACTGTAGACTGCTCAATTAATCATAGTCAGATCCAGAGATGATGCTGGACATTAGCTCATTTTCCTTATTGAAAACTTCCCTGACTTCATTTTAGACCATATGGAAAATGGGCAGATTTCATCCCAGACCACATTGATGGCACTTCTGAATGTTCAAAAGTGCAAATTGCTTCGTTCCTATGAGAGATCCAATGGCTGCATAGACCTTATTCTCCCTCAATAGGAGTCTTTTTGAACATTCCATCATGTTGTGTGTGTTGATGTGAAAGGCTGGGCAATACATACTGTCGCCAAATGATTTTCTTATTGATAAATGGAGCAATATATTTTGTTTTATTACTCAATTCTCTCTTCCATTTTCAAGGCAAAAAATTAGGGCATGTCTTCCTTTCTGGTGCAAAATTGTTTTACTTTATCATAGCCAATCTTATTGTAAATTCATAAAAGCATCTAGAGACTTGATAGTAAGTTAAAGATGTTTCAGAACAATAATGTTTCCTGAAAATGATGTGCAACTTTACTGCAGAAGTGATAAGAACTTGAAATTTCTCTATGCCTCTGATTTATGACAGAAAGTGCGTTAAGTAGGTTATCCTGGGCTTTGGTGAGGGGAGAGTGTGCAGGAGAATAGTGCTTACTCTACAGACCTCCAGGTTCCACAGCCTTGATGAGCATGTCTTCTGAGGATGTCAGTTACTTACTGACTTATACAACTCAGAAGCCGGGGCTTTAGGGACTGCCTGTTGCATTTTTAATCATAAAGGAGTCTAGACTTAAATCTTTCATAACTGAACTCATATTGTAATCCATTACATGTACTTCATGTTAGCTAGTGTCTCTGGCATTATGGTGGCAGCTGTGTAAAATATTTGTTTTGCTTGTTTAGAATTGAATTGTAACATTGTAAAGCGAGCAATTATTGCCGGGATAGAAGCTGCCAAATCTCTAATACTCCTATACAGCATCTTGCCAGTGTGTCTAAATTGCAGGAGATATTGTTACCCTAAGCAGAACAGACGGTACCTACCAGACACAGAGGAGGACCCTATTTCTGAATAGCCACTGAATCTATTAGTTCTGTCTCCTGTTTAGCGATTGTTTACTTGTCTGAGATTGTGAGCTTGGTGAGGACAGTCATGTTTTAATCCCCCAGCCCCTATCACAGTGTCGGGCATGTACCTGGAACACAGTCATACTTGTTAAAATATTGAAATGCATTTTCCACCTCACCCCTTCCTCCCTCACGCCTCCCCTCTTCCCTCCCTCTCTCCCCTTCTCCCAACCCTCACACTAACCTTTGGGCTTTGCTTTCTAGGCAAAGCAGGAAGAATGCCAGCTCTGTCTCCCAGGATTCTTGGGAGCAGAACTACTCCCCGGGGGAAGGCTTCCAGAGTGCCAAGGAGAACCCCAGGTACTCCAGCTACCAAGGCTCCAGGAATGGCTACCTGGGCGGGCACGGCTTCAACGCCAGGGTGATGCTGGAGACCCAGGAGCTCCTTCGCCAGGAACAGAGGCGGAAAGAGCAACAGATGAAGAAACAGCCTCCTCCTCCTGAGGGGCTCAACAACTATGACTCGTATAAGAAAGTCCAGGACCCCAGTTACGCCCCTGCCAAGGGGCCCTTCCGGCAGGATGTGCCCCCCTCCCCTTCTCAGGTCGCTAGGCTGAATAGACTCCAGACTCCTGAGAAAGGGAGGCCTTTCTACTCCTGAGTAGGAGAAGAGCGGATGCTTCATGTTAGGCAATAAAGGACATTTTCCTATGAAGACTTGTATTTTGGGAGTTTTTTTAAAACCTCGATGGTACTATGGAATATTTGTGTTGTTGGTATCAGTGCCTTTAAGCAGTATGGACAAAGAAATGGAAGGCCTTAATGTCTTTGCCACCATGTCTCAAGTGTCCATTTCATGGAAGAATTTCCCACCATCTGACAATCATCTTTTTGAGGCATTCGTATCCTCTGCATCTCTCTGGAGAACCAGGAATCTTGGCCCAAATCATGAGATGTCATGGCTTTGTGTTATAGCCCCTACAACTGTGGTGACAAATTACCTTGAAGTTGAGGGGGATGTTGATCCCTCTTTTGTCTCTTTAAGTTTTCTTAGATGTGAGGCGACATTGCAGTCTCCTCCTGGATGCAAGTGGTGACATACACCAGAAATTGAGGCTTGACGGTACATCACAGCAGTCATTTATAATACTTTGTAATTAGTATGGTTTCCCTTTTCCGTCTCAGCTTCTTGTAACAGGAAGGTTCCTTCATCCTATTAAAGATGCTAAGCCATATTCCAACACTGTCTGGTTATCATGGGGTCCTTTTATAATTGCCTTATGACTCAACATCACCAGTAAAGTGATCATTCTAGTCTGTGTTCATATGTACGCCTGTTCAGTCACGTTCCTAACACATGTCTTGAGTCACCACAGCTCTGTGTGGGGAACGTGGGAGATGGGAGTGACCCTGGAGGGGACGGACCGGGCCTGCTGACAGCCCTTGTGTATCATGATGTGGGAGGTGGTAGCTGAGAAAAGAATTCTCCCAGGGTGAGCTTCTGGCCCAGTACATCCAAGTAATTATTTTAATTAGTTTTTGTTTGACAGGTTGGCAGGAAGGGCATAGATAAATCAGACAGTTGTTTGGGATTCTAAAAACTCATCTGCTTTCCACAGTTTTTAAAGTTGGTTACAATTGACATTTGTCTAGTGCATCCACGTGCTGTCTCTGCCTGGTGATGCCGTCCATGCTACTAAATAATTCTGCCATGAAATGGAAAAGACAAATAAAGGAAAAGCCATTACACATCACACAGAGAACATCTTGGGTCCCAAAACAGTGTGACAAAAGATTGCTCTCGTGTCAGTATTTTAACGTACATGTGGGTCACGAGAGCCTTGGTTGCTCCTGGGTTGTCATCTGTTGGCTGAACGTCATGTATCGTAAACCACGGCTGCATTACTAAAGTGCCTGCAAATCTCGATGTGCAAAAAGCTTGAGACGAAAGCTCAGCGTACCATGTATTAACAAAAAAGAAAAGGAAAAAAATACATATACTGATATGCCTATTTTTTTTTATTGGCACATTGTATTTTTGTGTCCACTTGTTTCTAGAAAATATGTGAAGTGTCCATACACGTACCTGTGTCTCTTTTGCATTTCTGTGTAACAATTCTGTTTGTTCATAATGTGAGGCGATGTTTAAATGGTGTCACCAGTGTAAGCGTGGTGACCTTCGATGACAGTGGCTCTTTCTCACAGCCTTCCCTGAGCTGTGAGAAACAGCTTTCCCTGTATATATGAGACTTCTAATAAAGGCATATTTCTTCCTGGGTGTTTTTTGTGGTGTCTGTAGTATTCCTTTGGAAACTCTCCTAGCTGGGGTTTTTTGAAATTATATTAGCAGATGTGATTTTTTTTTCATACTTAGAGAAAGTTGAAAGTTTCCTCATATCTGTGTGCAGACATGGAATGGGTGATTGATTGCTTTTTTGAACACCTGAGGAGAGAGGGAACAGGAAAGAGAAGGACCTTCTTAATGAGTCCACTGGAAGGTCCAGGCCACAAAAAGAAGCCTGGGGAATTCTGAATTGAAGGAGCCAATACACTAGAACTAAATAAAAGAAAAATTATACCGAAAGCTACATAACGTTTCCATCATTGCCCTTTGCTCCCTTTGGATCATTTCAGCAAGCCAGATGTTTTGACTGAGTCCTAGCCTTGCATGCTGTGAGCCCAGGGTAAAGTCCAAATTCTAGTCTGCTTCCAATACTAACCCGGTTCTTATTTCCCAAATTATAAAATAAGGCTTTGCTGTTTCTTTTAGACAGACACTCATTAATATTTGTACAGTGCTTTGAAGGAATGAAGGCAATACATCCCTAGGTATGTCTTGAGCGCAGATATAGATGTGGTCCCCACCCAAAGGGCACGCTTTGCAGAGACCTGTTGAAGATGCCCTCCTTGTGCAGTGCCTGGCCTGAGTTGGTTGTATAGCAGCCCTCATCCTGTCACTCAGTCCAAATTCTATCACCTCAGTATTAGTAACGAGAGGTGTATAACAAGCCAAGGAACTAACACGTCTTTGGTTCTTATATGCATGCGTGTGTAGGAAAGTAGAAAAGGGAAGATGGACAGATTTGTTAATTTTCTCGCTGACCAGGAGGCCCACTGCAAATGCCAAAATTCGCAGGTTATTCATCTCAACTGACAGAAGTAGAGCAGGAGAGGTAATACTGAATGTTATGGGGACCCAGATCACAAAGGGATTTATGGATTAAAACTGACAACTTGAGCCACACTGAGAAGAGGAGGAGGACTAGATATAGGTCAGTGTGGAAGTGAGAATGTGCTCTATGTAGCAGTCTTGTCTAAATGAACTGGCCTCTGGCTCCAGAATGCTTCGCAAGGACTTGCAAAGATGGCAGGAGGAGCGTGTGAGCAGGAAGAGCCAGGCTGGGCACGGCAGCACGAGCGCTGCGCTCGGGCCCACACTTGCAGGGAGAAACCCCAAGTCACGGGAGGGGGCAGGCTGCAACCCGAAGGCTCACGCTCAGATGAGGATGGAAGGGGAGGAGCTCACCTGTCCCTCAGAAAAGACGGTCCCACTATTACGTTATCACCACTCAGTCCAGTAAGGCTATACGTACTTTTATGTTATTTATATATAAATTATAAAAATAATATTATACAGTGTATCTATATTATCTGTAATTTAAGCACCACCACCCGTCTCCTCTCCCTGTGGTTGGTGAGACCAAAGACAGCTGAGAGGTAAAGCATCCCACGACTGACAGGACTGTCCCACTAACAGGAAGGAGAGTGGGACCTGGGCTTCTCAGGTTTTCTGTGAGGGAAGTCAGATACTGAATATCAAATCAGAGACAGGAAACCGAATGAGTTTTCTGTTTCTTTGAGTAGGGGCAATTGGTTTTATTGCGAACCCTTTTTGAAAAAGGGCGCAAGACAAGCAAACAGCTGGCTGCGTTGTCAGTGGTGTGCTTTTCATCGCCCAACACCGTGAGTCTGAAAATGAGCTAGAGGTGAGAAGAGACCAGGGGCCGCCAGGGCTCCTCTGTCCACATCGTTGCTCGTGGCTTACCCAGAAATGGCAGCCATCTTCCGGACAGCTCCCCTTCCTCCAATAGGGTTCTTTTGTTTGTTTTGCAGGTGGAGATTAGCCCTAAGCTAACATCTATTGCCAGTTTTCCTCCTTTTTTTTCTTTCCCTTTCTCCCCGCCAAAGCTCCAGTACATAGTTGTGTATAGTTGTGAGTTCTTCTGGTTCTTCTACGTGAGCCCCCACCACAGCATGGCTACTGACAGATGAGTGGTGTGGTTCCATGCCCGGGAACTGAACCCGGGCCACTGAAGTGGAGCGCACTGAACTGAACCACTAAGCCGTCAGGGCTGGCTCTCAACAGTTTTTGTTGGAAAGTACACATATTTACATATACATATAGCAGGTATATGTAGCACCTGCAAAATGCATATGTAATTCTATGTTTGGTTATTTTAATGTGTTCCTTATTTCATCCTATGAGTCCTTAAAACCCAGGTGTTGCCCCCAGTGGAAACCAACCTAAGATGAAGCAGATAGTAATTTGTTTCTAGCTTTGTTTGCTAGTCATGGAAGTGTAAGTCACTAAGGTTCGACAACTCCCTCTCAGTGTATTTCATTCTGGATGCCCTCCTTGGGTAGCATAGTGCACCATAAATTTAAATGTCTATTTAAGTCAGTTCTTTTTTTTTTTTAACAAAGATTCCTCCGATGATGACATGTCAAGTAAGGAGATAATCTTCTTTTCCTACTTTGGAGACAGGCTATCATCTTAATAAGGCAGCTAATAAGAACACTCACAGGTCAGCGAGTGAGGGTGATGGAGGCGCTGTAATGGAAACTGCCTCCAGCGCTGAGCAATGACGAGATCACCAACCTGGTGGAATTCAATTGACTTGTTTTTAAATGTGTGAAGGATGAGCGTTGTAATTTTGAGCATAAGCCTTTTTTTTTCTAACAAGAAATGGATATTTTACTTTAGATCTCATGGGAACGGGGGACACTGTCATTGCAATCCACATAGAAGGAGCTTATTTTCCCATTAGATGGCTTTTTCCCCCCCAAATCTAGCATCTTCCTGGCCAGCATTCCCCTCCCCTTCTCTTCCTTTACTTCAGCTTTCAGATCCCATTCAGCAAAGTAAAAATCTATGGGTGTCTCTTTGTCCATAAATTTAGTTTATTTAAGTTAAACCCTACAGGAGAGAATTTTTTTTTTTTTGGTGAAGGAGGTTGTCCCTGAGCTAACATCTGTGCCAATCTTCCTCTACTTTTTGTATATGGGATGCCACCACAGCATGGCTTGATGAGCTGTGGGTAGGTCCACGCCCAAGATCTGAACCTGGGCCACCGACGCAGAGCACGTGAACTTTACTATGCCACCGGGCTGGCCTGGAGAATTTTGTTTTTAAAGGATTTCATTATGGGTCCTATGAGATCAAATATTCTTGGCTAAAAAGGATAATTCCCTTTCCTCACAAGTTTTTTTCTTTTTCCTTTCTGAGTTCAGATTTAAATGATCAGTTTTTACTTTCTCATTTTTATTTTTTGTTTTTTTTGCTAAGGGAGATTTGCCCTGAGCTAACATCTGTTGCCAATCTTCCTCTTTTTGTATGTGAGCTGCTGCCACAGCAAGGCCACTGACAGATGAGTAGTGTAGGTCTGTGCCCAGGAACCGAACCTGGGCCCCTGAAGCAGAGCACACTGAACTTAACCATTAGGCCACTGGAGCTGGCCCTCATTTTTAATTTTTTAAAGCAAATTATATGAACATTAGCCTGTCACTCCCCAGGTGGGTTTATTTCATGCTGGACACAGGAGAAAAAATGCAAGAAACAAGGACTAAGGCCTCCCATGCGGAGGCTGAACAATTACTCGTTTTTTCATCCCTAGCACTTACAGGATCAATTAAATGTGTGAAAAACACACTTTTCTGAATTGCTCAACTAACTGCTGAGTCACCTCACACTGTTGTTGGGTTAGAAAAGTCATTTGAAGTTTGTTCTCAGACACTGTGATGTCTCATGCTGGTCTGATTCTCCTCCTAGGGTGTCCTCAGCCTCGGCAGATCGACGGCTGGAAGATGGCGCTGGTGGCAGAGCCCTTCTCCTCTCTCTGAAGTCAAGTTTGCTCCTTGCTAGAAGGATCCTTCTGAAACTGAAGTTTGGCTTCCATGTGGGATTTTATGATGCAAATATTTTAAGTACAGCTTTGAAGATTTTGCCATTAAAAACAGTCTCACATGGCTCAGGGCCCAGCCGACTGCAAACGACAGGGGAAGAGTGCCATATATTGCTGGCAAGTGACAGGAAGGAAAACAACACAAATTTTTAAACCCATCGTGACCTCGGCTAATGATCTGGTTTCAGGGTTCAGTTCATATCTGAGATTCTTTTATTCAGCTCTGATTGTCAGCAGCCACATACTGATCACAGTTGTTTATGTAGGGATGAAATGGTTGAAAACTTTAGCCTGACAACCCAGAGATGGGTCACAATAAGGCCTGCCAATGAATGTGGGGCATTCTGGAATAATGCAAACCTTTGAACTTGTCTTGTGCAGCCTCAAAGTGAATTTGTCGTGCACATGCCCTGACTTTTAACTCCATTTCCAAACTTTCTTTAATTTGATCTGCTCGGCTTGACTGCCATCTGAGCCCAAGGAACTCCTCCTCTGATCCAAGCAACCAAAGCATTTCCACCAAATCTGTGCCTGCTGTCAGAGTGCGCAGGGAGCCCAGCTCCCACTGCACTTGATTTGTTATGTAGCACTTTACAATTTGCACAGCATTCTCGTCGTTTCTTTTTCAGTCCCTAAACCCTGTGAAGCAGGTTAGAGAAATGATGGTCCAATTTTACATGTGAGGAAACTGAGACCCCCAAAGTTTGTGACTCGACCAGTTGGTGAGCTGCCCAATCGAACACAAAACCCATTGTCCTAACGACACCCATCTTTGTGGTGTAAAGGTACTATGAAAAGAAAAGTTTTTTATGTTTAACAATTTTAAGTTCCTTACTTGATGTTAACTCATTGGGAAGAGAAACACAGTATAAGGTATAGTTATGAAATTCTTGAAAATAAATGTTATTAATCACCACACTATGTACACTTGAAAATTACATATGTATATTACATATTGTGTATATATTTATATATTATATATATTATATAAATATAATGGTTTATTCACACTTTGGGCCCAATGTGTTGTAAATTTAAATGCCCATTGGAAGAGACAAAGCCAGGCTTCCACATGGATTTGCAGACCCCACCAG